ATGACCGGCCGTGCCGTAGAGCAGAGGGTTGCAAGCGGCGAGAGAGACAGAGAGCGAGGGTTGGGGGTGGGCTGTACGGGAAAAATCGAAACAGCGCGCAGAGGAGCCGCGTGTCCTGGATCGCGACGCGAGTAATTTAAAAACGAGCACGATCGTTAGAGGCAGAGGCGATCGCCGCGATGGAATCGAGGGCTGCAACGCGACGAAAATAAAATTGAACTTTACAGTATCGGTCACGGCGTCGTGTCAAAGGGACGAGGGAAAAAAAAGAGCAGACGGTAGCCGGCTGCGCGAACGCGCGCAAACGGTTCGCGAGCGGGACCGAGGGGGGAGACACGGCCCCCTGGACGTTTCGCGAAAGTATGTTCATCCGTCAACCGGCGTCGATTTAATTGGAACTATTTCCTGTGCGCCGACCCTTCCCCTCCAGGGCTTTTTTCGTACGGATTTTCATGGTTTTTGCGAGCGACGAACAAGCAATCCGATCGAACGGTTCAAGACAAAGGGAAAAAAGCACGGGCCGAACGCTTCGAGCGACAGCTTCGTTGTCGTCGTCGTCGTCGTCGTCGACGTCCGCCGTCGACGCTCGCGGACCGCGATGATTTAAACGCTGCTACGATCCGGCTCTTCCGGTTCTGCTCCGCCCACCAGAAACACCGTCGGACAATATATTTCGTCTCTGTTCCGGATCGGATACGTCTAGCTCGCGCTGCGACGTAATCCTTCGGGATAGGGTCAAGTTCAATATGCGCGGCCCGTGAGAATTTTAACGGACGAGCTTCTGTTCCGTTCGTCGGTTTCCGAGTCGAGACACGAGAGCGTGTTCCTGCGTTTTTGCAGCCATCGTTCTCCTATCCCCATCTGTCAGCGTTCTATAGGTGCAGCCCGCGTTAACCGATACTTTCCTCGTAAAAACACAACGGAACCGAAGTCGGGATTCCAGGATATTTGAATGGGAACGGAGAACAGGAAGTCGGCTATCCGTGTGCTACTTTAGACACAAAATAACACGAGATTGGCATACAACGGCGACTCTTGCGACAGACTCGTTCGAGCCGTTCGAGCAGTTTATTCGCTCGTCGCCGAGACCCGAGCCGAATGTAATTGACGAACGTTAGAAGTTACAAAGCAGGTTGCAAAGTAGGCGCGGTTGGTTCATTTCCGTTGTATCCCGATCACGAAATATTCCATTATATCTGAGAATATTGTTCGTGTTCTTTACGAGGTTTTCTACCACTTTACTTCGCAAGTAGATTGCGAATTTTATGGATTTCCCGAGAATAATGAGCACGTAATTGAATTACATAGAATCGCGAGCACGCAAGGAGAACTTCGCGATTTTGTTACGCTATCTTCAAGCTAACAGAGCGATTAGCGGAAGTAAGACTGTTTTTATTTAACCCCTTGCACTCGATGCTATTTTAACTGTAAATATAGAATCGTTTTTCTAACTTGTAGTATTTTCATTTTATATGACTAAATGCATTTTACGCATATGGAATTGACTCTTGAGATCCGCGCAACGGTTACGCTCTTAACAATTTTTTAAAGCTGAACTTTGTTAGTGTGAAAGTTATCTTAGAACGTGATGCAACAAATTTTAGTGGTGTCTCAGAGTCACCGCTCGAGTGCAAAGAGTTAATTTCTGTTCCTTGCGATCGATGCAGGAGACTTTCATTTTGTACGAAGATCCGCAGATCAGTGATAACATGTATACAATAAACAATAGAACGATCAGACAATAAAACGTTATTTAACCACTTAGCTGTGGCGCCTCCTTTTTAGAACGCGTACCTATACGTGTCGCGAGAACTAAGCGACGACGAGTATACTCGTCGAACACAGAATAAGAATCGCTGTTAAAATATTGGATCAAAAACACGGTTTTATTTTGTAAAATTAACAATTTTATTATTGATATTTACTCATTCACTTAACATTAACATATACATATAACATACATAATAAACGAGAAACGCAGAAAAAATCAAATACTTATAAAAGTTAAAGAAAAGCAAGCAAGGAAGCAAGAAACAATATACAGGATGTCCCAAAAATGTCTCGCAATCCGAAAGTGGCGGGTACCTCGGGTCATTTGAAGCAACTTCTTCCTTTACAAAAATTTTCTTCGAGGCACCGTTAACGAGTTATTAAGGAAAAACAGTGACCAATAAGAATCGAGTACGGCTGACGCGAGGCGGCTCAGCCAACCAGCGCACGAAGCCCAGTTCCGCTCATTGGCTTGGTCGCCTCGCGCCAGCTGAACTCGTTTTTCGTTAATAACTCGCTAATGGTGCCTTGGAGAAAATTTTTCTAAAGGAAAAAGTTGCTTCAAATGACCCGAGGTACCCGCCACTTTCGGATTGCGAGACATTTTTGGGACACCTTGTATATTAGCACTTTGTACGTCGAACACCAATATCGTGATTCTTTTCTAATCTTATTCTTATAACAATGTAAACACCTTCGTGCAGGATTCGCCCGAAAATATTCTGAACATCTTGAAATTTGAGAATATGTTTTTGTTTTCACTAAAAATACAATTTAAACAGACGATGATCACTACTTTTTACGCACGACGAGTATACTCGTCGTGACACAAAATACTATCACTTCTCCATGACGAGTATACTCGTCATGACACAAAATACTGTCACTTCTCCATGACGAGTATACTCGTCATGACACAAAATACTGTCACTTCTCCACATGACGAGTATACTCGTCGAACACAGTATACATGTGAAATATATCGTACAACCGTAATAAATAATTGTAAAAATAAATGTTCGGATAAAGGAGCTCTCTGCTGTGCTAGGATCGACCTCGAAGTAATCGCAGTCCATTACCATGACAACGGAAAGAGGACCGCGACGGAGCGTGTCCTTCTTCGGTCTCTTTGATGTTTCTCTGCGGCGGTTCGTTTGCGTTCGCATTCGCGTTTGCAGTTGCGTTTGCGGTTCCGGCGCACGCCGGTGCCGCGTCACACAATTTTATTCGCGTTGATATTATTCGTAGAAACTGGTCCGCGTGGGAGTAATTTAAAAGACGGCTCGTTAGCAGGGACGCGCGGCGCGCGGAATGTGTGTGCGCGCAAAGGTATGCGTGTAACTGCGACCCGCAACGAAACACGGAAGCGTGTCGAAGCGGTACACCGGGCCAAGAGGGGCAAACAAACGGAGGTCGTAGGGTACGCGCATACCGCCGTTACTCACCGTGGTTGTTGCTTGTTTAGCTATGTTAGCTTTGGCGTGCTTTGCTGGTGCTGCGTTTAGCCGGTATCTGCCGCCTGCCCACCCGCTCTATTCGCCTCTGCTCCCTCCGCTTTACTCGCTCTATCCGCTCTATTCGCTCTCCGTTCGCTACGTTCGCTCTATTCGCTCGCCGATCCTTCCTCGCGACCCCTTTCGTCGCGGGCGTGCTTCGATCTTAACCCACGGCCGGGCTTCGTGCATCGATACGCCTCTCTACGACAGTGATCGTCAATCTTTGTCGACTCGTCGGACATTCGAGATTACAGCGAATTCTCTCGAACTGTCCCTCGGCTTGCAAACAAAGATGGACGCGGCTCGTTTTTTTTACAGTCGCCGATCGTCAACGGCCGGGAAAACGAGCCGCGAGGCAAGAACGAGGCAAGAACTTCTCAAATTATCCGTTTCTGTTTGCAAACCGAGGGACCATTTTTGCTCGAATTTACCGAATTGCTCGGTACGGTAATGTTTCCCTAACTGACGCTCAGATTGTGCAGAAAAATGGACAATTTGGGGAGAGGAGATACGATTATTCCGGCTTTGCACCATGTTTTTATAATCGTTGACAATCGGTAACTATAGAAACAAGTCGCAAGGCTCGAATTCGCAAGGCTCCTCCTCCCAAATTGTCCAATTTTGTGGACAATCTCAGCGTCAATTAGGGTGACATTATTGCTCTTGGCTCGTTTTTTACAGTTGCCGATCGTCAACAGCCGGAAAAACGTGCCGCGAGGCTCGAACAATCGTATTCCCTCTTCTCAAATTATCCGTTTCTGTTTGCAAACCGAGGGACCACTTTTGCTCGAATTTACCGAATTGCTCGGTACAGTAATGTCTCCTTAACTGACGCTCAGATTGTGCACAAAAATGGACAATTTCAGCACAGGAGATACGATTATTCCGGCTTTGCACCATGTTTTTATAATCGTTGACAATCGGTAACTATAAAAACAAGTCGCAAGGCTCGAATTCGCAAGTCTTCTCCTCCCAAATTGTCCAATTTTGTGAACAATCTCAGCGTCAATTAGGGTAACATCACTGTATTCGGTTATTCTTGCGAGATTCCAGCCATCCGCGGGAAACGAGCAAGGCGAATCATAGAGAAGTCGCAGGTCACGTTCTTTCTGAGAAAGTTTCGCCAACTTTTGACCTCGCGCCGCGGCGAGCTCGGTTCCGAGGAAGGTTTGAAGACCACTGATCCACTGATCCGCGACAAGGCTCTGTCGCATCCTTTATCTATCGCGTGGTTCTATTCGGAAAGTTAGGGTGCAACGGAGGTACGCGTGCACCCGTATATCGATCAATAAGCAAGGTAAACAAACGCATCGCACCGGCAATCTCCTTTGTAAGACGCGACAGGATTTTGATCGGGCCTCTCCTGGATATTGCCGTGCAGGCGGTGCTGCGGTGGTCGGTCGCCGAACGTGGTTCGGAACGAACCCGAAACCGGGTCCTCCTCCTGGCGGGCCGACCCGACGTCGATAAATCCCGGGATTTCAATTTATAACGTTCCCCGGTGTACCGGATAAGCGTTGTTGACTCCCGTTGACCCCACGAATTTGGTTAATTGCTTTATGTCCCGACTCTCGTTCTATGAAAGACTGGTTTGCGCCCGCTCGGCATCGCTCGTCTCGCTCGCCCCGCTCGCCCACGCTCGCTCCGCTCGTCCACGCTTGTTCCAGCTCGTTCTCGCTCGACGCCCCATTTACCCGAAGCAGCTACTTAACTCTGCCCCGAACATTGTTTCAGCTGCTGTTTGTCGCTTGCACTCTCCTCCTCGTCTGCATGGCGACGGCAGATTCGGACGAAGGGCAGACCGGAAGATCGCGGGTCTCCGACGAGCAGCTCAACATGGCACTCAGCGACCAGCGGTATCTCAGGAGACAGCTGAAATGCGCCCTGGGAGAGGCGCCCTGCGACCCCGTCGGCAGACGGCTGAAAAGTATGCCAAACGTTCACCGTGCCGATTAACCCGTTTGCATCGCCGGCGCGCGCTTTCCGCTCGTTATCGCTCGTCCGCGCGATTTTTCCGCTCATTATTTTCCGGACGACGTTCGCGACGCGAGCGAGTGTCACCGGATTCTTAGCGGGCGCGCGTCCGCTTGAAACTCGCCGAGACACTCGGCCTCGCGACTTCCGCGCGTTCGCTTCTCTTGACAAGTATACCGTGTTCGATCACCAATTACGGTAATGTCTCTCTAATTGACGCTCAGATTGTCCACAGAAATGAACAATTTTGGTGGCGGTGATACGATTATTCGAGCTTCCTGGCTTGTTTTTACAGTTGCTGATTGCTAACAATTATGAAAAACCTTGGTGCAATGTTCGAACAATCGTATCTCCTCTTCCCAAATTGTCCATTTTTGTGCACAATTTGAGCGTCAGTTAGGGAGACATTACTGTAACCGTTTGAGTCCCAAGCAGAGCGATCGCGCTGTTCAGATCTTGTGTCGCGATCGAACTTTAGTGACGCACGTACATCGCATAGCTGCTTTTTTCATCTTTTTTTCTTTTTGTTTTGTTTGTCGATCTTGACGAGCGCTTGGTTCTCTTCGCAATTAACTAAAACTAAACTAAACCCTGGGACTCGAACGGTTAAGTTAAAAGCGCCGGAAATTCTCTGAAATTGTCTCTCGTCTTATACACGAAAATGTTCGATTTAGAATATATAATATATATATTATATATAATATATAATATATAATATATAATGTAATTATAGGATTTTATAATAGGGGCTTTTTTTATACTTGTCGATCGTCGACGACTATAGAAACGAGCCCGCAAAGCTCGAATAATCTCCTCTTCCGAAATTCTTCGTTTTTGTTTACAAGCTCTGGGACAATCGCAGAGAATTTACTGTACCTATTACGGAACGCTTCTCAGGGATTACAAGATTATTCCATCGTAACTTAAAAGTGTCATCGTCGAATATCTATACTATCGATAGATCGATAGATCGATGTTTCTAGACAACGTGACGAAGCTTCAAAGCACAATTCATTTCACGCGAATAAAAAACTGATACGAGTTAAACCAGCGAAGCGCGGGCATGCAGCTACCATTGAAAACACCGTCTTACAAACTGTCCCATAAATCGGGACAATGAAAAGATCGAGGCTGGCAATATGGAACTACCTGTTCTTGCTTAGAAACGCCCTTATTCGTACGTGACGGAGTTTATAAAGAGCGACGTGCAAAAGTGCGGGTGTAACTCTTACATCCGCTTTCGTTCGCTATCTATTTCTTTTTTTTTGTCATTGCATTGTTCGTGCCACTGTTTCCAGAAGGGGCCACACGATCGGCCAGCGTTTCGTAATAGTCGCTTTTCCCACCTTACTCGCCGTGAGAAGAATCGGGTCTTCGCGCGATCGGTTTCCGGGGTGGCTGGCTGTCGCGCGGAGCCTCTCGACATAACGCGGCTACCTAACAGAGACGAATCCGCGCGCAAAGCCGCGCGTTCCCGCCCACCGGTATCGATCGTCTTCTCGTTTCCATCCAAAGGCATATCCGATGGCAAAAATTTCGTGGAGGCAGCGCAATTACCCCGAAAACATAACGACGGCCCCGGAAACACCGGGAGCCAGGGAGAATCCGGGAATCCACGGCCAGGAGCCGCCCGCCAGAAATCGCTATTCTATCCGATTCGGAAGATAAACCGATCTTGGCCGTAGTTAACCCCATTTCGCGCGAGACAGAGAAGGAGATAGAGATAGAGATAGATAGAGAGATAGATAGATAGAGAGATAGAGAGAGAGAGGGAGAGAGAGAGAGAGAGAGAGAGAGGGAGAGGGTGGGAGAGAGAGAACTCCGGTGCAAGGTGATCGTAACCGGCGAGTCATCGAATTGCTTAGATCGGATTTATACCCGTATTTCGAGGGCCCGCCGCGCCGGTGAGAACGCTTTGCCGATAAATTTCGATAAAGTTGCACCGGGCCGGGCCGGGATTCGATCTAACCCCCCGTTGCGTGTGTTATCCAGGCTTGGCGCCGTTGGTCCTGAGAGGCGCCTGCCCGCAGTGTAGCCCCGAGGAGACGCGACAGATCAAGAAGGTGCTGTCGCACATCCAGCGGACCTACCCGAAGGAATGGTCCAAGATAGTGCAACAGTACGTCGGAGTCTCCTAACGCAGCCGCTGCTGCCTGACGAGGACCGAGGGGGAGGGCGACGGATGGATATCCTTCTTATCCGGCATCGACGATATAGCCTAATTGTTACGAGCGTACCAAAGCTTTCCCGGTGTTTTACCATAGCCGGTGGAACCCCCGGCTATGACACCCGTTGGCGGATTCCCGGCTGAATTCAATTCAATGCTCCCTTGTGTATTCGATAGGGTCTCGATTATCTTCTAGTTCGATCGGCGGACGCGTTGGTTCCGATTGAACCGCGGTGACGCGATTCCGCCGATTCGAAGAAGAGTCGAGCCGAATTCTCGCGTGCTCTCTAATCCGTGGGTGAATCCGCCATCGGCGACACCGACGCCGGACGCTCGAGCTCGGTGTTCTGTTAACCGTAAACATAGTATTTCACACACGTTGCTTCGCAGACCACAATGATGTTATATTTACAATAAAGTATGTTTTCCTATAGACAGAAGAGAGAGAAAGAGTGTATCTATGTGTGTGTGTGTGTGTTAGAGAAAGAGAGAGAGCAGCTTTACCCGGCGAACCGTGGGGCGGCTCGGTTGTTCGCTCGATTTAAGCCTTCCGTTATAGGCGATGCGGGGGTGGCTCGCGGAGTATCGCTTTCGCGGCGTAGCTCGATTTTTATTCCCGGAACGAGGAGGCACGGAGCTGCGAGCCGCGGTCGGTTGCGAGACCCGAGCCGTGAGCGTGGTAGAAAAATGAAAGGAAGCAACGGGGATACGATCGTCTGCGACTCTCCGCGACGTCAGAGACGCGGCGGCGGAGGAGGCGGAGGCGGCGCGGGGGAGGGCAGGGGGCAGCAGTAATAATGGCAGATGCAAGTAGTGGGAAAGTAATAAGCCCCGGATTCGTATTTTATATTTTATTCTCCGCGACTCGGCCGGCTTCAATTTCGCTGCATTACAATAGACAGTGCCTTATTCCTCGAAACTATACGGCGGAACTTTATGTCGGCGTCGTTTTATAACGTCTGAACTCGCGGAACGACGCCGCATCGACGATCGTATTCAAACGGCGCCCGATATATACCTAACGCGGACCGGCGACCGTTTAACAACGCGCGCACAGTTTCGCTTTCTAGCAATACCGCCGGGTTACGGGAACCGTTGCGCAACGATTGCACCATGCATCCTTCGATACGGTGCCGCGACGCGCGCGAACTGCATATGGCATGCGGGGCACGGCGCACGACACACACCGGCGTATTAGATTCATACGAATCGTTCTAACGCTTTTTCTCGGAGTCGCGCGCGCTCGCGATTCGTCGTTTACGAGATTCGAATGCTTCGACGATCGACATGTCGACTCACGTTCATCTTCTGGTTTCCCTGGCGAGGCGAATAATATTAACCTTTCGCACTCGAATGGTGACTAAAAGTCATGCAAGGTGACTAAGAGGCACCCAAGGTGACTAGGAGACACCCAAGGTGACTAGGAGGCACCACTAAAATTTGTTATATCACGCTTTAAGATAACGTTTATATTAAAATAAGTTTAGATTGAAAAAATTGTTAAAAGTGTAACCGTTGTGCGAGACCCAAGTGACAATTTCATGTGCATAAAATGCATTTTGTCATATAAAATAGAAATACGGTAATGTCTCCCTAACTGGCGCTCAGATTCTGCACAAAAATGGACGATTTTGGGAAGAGGAGATATAATTATTCGACCCTTGACATAACCTTGACAATCGAGAACCATAAAAAAACGAGCCACAAGGCTCGAACAATCGTATCTCCTTTTCCAAAATTGTCCATTTTTGTGGACGATCTGAGCGTCAATTAGGGAGACATTACTGTACAGTGATTTCTCTCGCATTGTTCCCAAGCTTTGGGGGCGAAAGTGGACAATTTGGGGAGAGGAGATACGATTATTCGAGCTTTGCAACTTGTTTTTATAGTTGTTGACAATCGATAACCATAAAAAACGAGCCACAGGACTCGAACAATCGTATCTCCTCTTCCCAAATTGTACATTTTTGTGGACAATCTGAACGCCAATTAGAGAGACATTACTGTACTATAATAAGTTAGACAAATGATTTTATATTTAGAGTTAAAATAGCTTCGAATGCAAAGGGTTAGCTCGAGCCGTAAATAACTTCCGCTTCTCTATCAGACATTTATTTTCTGTTTATTTTGATTCATTAGTTTCTGTCATTTATTCTTTCTATTCTGTTTACTTATAAACAGAATATCATAGAATAATATAAATATTGTCTATATAATAATATAAATATTGCCATACCCTTGTCTATTCGATCGAAGCGAAAACTCGTCGAGTCCCGGTGACTCGAACAATAGATTCTATCTAGCTGCGTCGAAAGTTCTTTACGACTCGACTTAATAAATACCTCGATGATTGACGCCGTTCCTTGAATTTCCGACAATGTATTCCGCGCGGCATTGACGAGACGAAATGAGACGAGACGGGACGGGACGGGTCGGGTCGGGCCGGGACAGGACGGGGCGGAACGAGATGCGAGGGCGGACAAGGGTTGGCATCGATCGGCTAAGCTTTCTTTATCCCAGTTTGCTCGTCGCTACCGTTTGCGCTGCTGGTTTTATTAGATAATTATTGCCGGCAGCAACATCGCGTTCCGGGTTATTTATCACGACGAAACCGGGACGTCGGGGGCGAAAACACGCTGCAGGAAATTCGCGTTTAAGAATGCAGCGCGGATGCGGCGGATTTTAAATTGTTAATATCTTGTAAAGTACACGACATTACAGACTTGACGAGAACTAGAACCTGCCAAAGGCTCATTAAAAAGTCAGCGTAACGCTTGGGGAGTGGGGGGCGAGAGAGCTTTACCCGATGAGCCCGTGAGAGACGCGTATACACCGAACCGGTATGCTCGCGTTCTACCAATTAAGCCAGCTACAAACTCCAACGATGCGCGAGTAGTAACGCTTTCCCACAGAGAATATTCCTAACGCTCGAGAGCCCCGGTTAGAATGAACCGTTAAAGGCCGGAGCTTACGATCGTGGAAGCGTATCCCCCAACCTCCCCCCTCTCGTCCCCCCGTACCCCCGTTTATCGCATATATTTCACCGCCTTTATCGAGAATGTGAACGACAATCAACAAGTTGCTAATTGTTTCGGGCATAATTAACGGTGTATCCGGGGCTGGGGTGGGGGGGCGGGGTCTCGGGCAATTTACACAAGCTCATAGCGGCCACCATAATATCGATGGGGGGCCGAGAGGATAGCCTCTGTCTCGCAGCTGCCTCGTGTCCCGTTTCACGTAATGCAAATTCTTTTCCCGGCGTTTTCACCTTTATACCGCCGGAGCGTATATTTAATTTCGCCTCCCGCTGTCGATATTCCGAATCGGAATCAATTACGCGCATTCCGACGAGATTGAATTTCCATAGAAAACATCGAGCGCCGCTCCAATTTTTTCTTTTTTTTTCTTTTTTTTTGTGTTCGCCGATTCCCCGGAATCCGGACGCGTTCGAGATCGCCATGATGGTCAAGCTATGTCACTTTTTCTCGTTTTTCTTTTTTTGACTCGAGAACCATCGGTGCTTTGCCTTCGATATACTTACGGGGACCGAATTGACTCGATCGTCTCGATAAGCGTGCCGTTTCATCGTTAATGTTTGCCGTTATCGATGAGAAATAATACTAGCTAAATCGCCTCGGCGATCACTCTTCAACGTCCACGCTATTTCGACGAAATCTTTTCAAGCTTTTCTCGCAAAGGAGCAACACTTCGAACACTTGGGTGCCACGGACCGCCGCGCTGTCCTGTTGGAAATCGCAAAAGTCGCCGTTATTTTCACCATTTTTCACCAATTTTTACTAAGCGAGCTTCAACAATTTCGAATACATTGTCGAAGCCTGTATCGTTCCGTTTTTATTAATGGCGTAGTTTTTACTCGTTAATCGACAAAATATGGCAGCAAATTGTTGGGCAGACTGTTCGAAATGAAACCACCGGTTAAACCGCCAACCTAATAATTACCAGAGCTACAAACGTTCCAGCTACATTTTAACTTCGCGGCAGTCTGTTTTAATTATTAACCAATTAGCTGTGGCGCCTACTTTTCAAGGCGCGCACCTATGTACGTGTATCGCGAAAATCAAGCGATGACGAGTATACTCGTCGAGCACAGAGTAAGCGTCTCTGTTAAAATATTGGATCGAAAAGCCGGTTTTATTTCATAAAGTTAACAATTTTATTACCAATACTTATTTATTTACTTAACGTCAACATACACTGTATAGGTAATAAACGAAAAACTCAGGAAACATCAAACATTTATAAAAGTTAAAAATTCAAATTGCTGCTGCAGAATGCAAGGAATATCGCGATATTCTTTTCTAATCTTATTTTTATAACAATGTAGACACCTTCGTGTAGGATTGGCCTAAAATTATTCTAATCATCTTGAAATGTTTGAGAATGTGTCTTTGTTAAAATTACAATTTAAATAGCCAATGATCGCTACTTTTTACACAAAATACCGCCATTTCTCCATGGCGAGTATACTCGTCGAACACAGAGTAAGCGTCCCTGTTAAAATATTGGATCGAAAAGCCGGTTTTATTTCATAAAATTAACAATTTTATTACTAATATTTACTTGTTGACTAAACATTAACATATACTGCATACGTAATAAATGAAAAACGCAGGAAAAATCAAATTGTACTTATAAAAGTTAAAAATTCAGCAAAAAGTTAGCAAAAATTCAGCAAAGCAAGGAACGATACATAATGGCACTTTGCACTTTCCAATATCGTCATTCCTTTCTAATCTTATTTTCATAACAATGTAAACACCTTCGTGCAGAATTGACCAAAAAACATTCTAGACATCTTGAAACGTTTGAGAATACGTTTCTGTTAACATTACAATTTAAATAGCCAATGATCACTACCTTGTAAAGTTTATATACCTATTTATAAAGTATTTAATTATAATATATTATTTTTATATACCTACCTTACAAAATACCGCCATTTCTCCATGACGAGTGTATTCGTCGAACTCGACGAACTCGTCGAACACGGCTAACTGTTTAAATATTTCTGGTCGCGCCACGCTCTGTTACTCTTCCCAGGATATCGGAATCGAAAGCGTGGCATTATTGCGATCGGCACAGTCAACGATAAAGTCGAAACACTCGGGCCAATCGCCCGAGCGGGTACGGGTACAATGAAATCGTCCCGCCGAAAGTAGAAAGTTATTTCCGTAAGCGTCGAGGTCGTCGAGGTCGAACGAGAGAGAAAGGAAACGCGAGTTGACGCGTGATCTCTTAATTGGACGATCACGAGTCCCCAACGGGACGTTTCACTTTCCCCGGGGCGGCGCCGAAACGTTCGAGCGCAGGAAACGTCGAACGTTTCGAGCAGGGAGAAACCGGTGTCCCGCGCACGCCGCGCCGGGGTCATCGCGTGACATTCTTCGTCGCGGAGATCGTTCTCGCTCCAGACGGCAAC